GCATTAAGAGTGACTTATCATAATTCATAATAAAGTTTATCCATTGAATATTTTTTGCAGATATGTAGAAAAATGCTAAATTTGGGAACAGAGGCCAACATGACTGTTTGCCTTTGAAACTAAAGCGACTGAAACGGACATTTGAGTGCAGAGTTGTTTATTTCTTGATGGATTTCAGCAGAAGGTTTTGTTTACATTGAGTGTGGACCTGCATTCCTGAATTGCACTTATAGAAAACAGTGGAGTGGACTCGTTCAAACACCATTTGATATAAATCAGTCTGATCTCAGATGAATATTCAGCTGCAGAAAAAAAACACATAATTATGTTTAATGTTGGTCATTTTCACTGAAACCCTTCTGTACAAACATTTTTGTTTCTTTCGTCCCAGCGAGAATTAAAAACAAGACTGCTCTCATTGTTTCTCTCGGCAGTAAAACTATAATATAAAATAAAATAAAATAAAATAAAATAAAATAAAATAAAATAAAATAAAATAAAATAACTGCTTTTGTCTCAGTTCAGATATAAGGTCTGACTTTTTGTTTTTATTTCATATCTTCTGATCCTCTGATTATCTTCCTCCTCCTCTCCCAGCTGCTCCTCAGATGCAAACAATGTTCTCATTAATATTTCAGTCGTTAGGAGAGCTGAGGGCTATGAATCCTTACAAACACAACCATGCATACACACACACACGTGCACATTCATGCACACTTTAGATGCTGGTGCTCAACAACCTGTAAAATTCTTTAAAATGTTTATTTTTTTCTTAATGAAGAGATAAAACCTGAACAGACTTGATGCTTTCAGAACCTAGAACTTAAAAATCAGAGTGAGTTGTATTGATTTTAACGCTCTCACATCCTTTAATATTTAGTCAAAGCTTCAGTGTCAGGATATTTTCTGTTTCTGTAAGTTGCATCTTTCCTTCAAACAGCAGTAATTTAACCCTCTGGGGAGATTAAACAAGGCTCTTCTGTCCGTTCATTAATGAACGCTTGTTGGACAGGAAGAAGCTGGCAGCCTGCAGGAAAACCAGAAAGCAGAGGGAATAAAGTTTTTCACTCGGCTCTGAGCCAAACAGGCCGCGAAACGATCAGCGTGAGTTTGGACACAGAAATCAGACGTTCAGTCAGACAGGAAGGATTTGAAGGATTTAACTGAGGCTCTGTGGAAATGTCAGGGTTTTCAAAATAAAAATACAACAAAAACCTTCGGCTCATTCAGGAGACGACTGTTAGCGCTTTTGTTTTATGTAATGGTATGTGTAACTTTATTTACAAAGTCTTTTCCAACAAAAATACATCTTTAATTTCTTCAAAACATTTTTTTTGCTTTCTGTTTTTGTCTTATATTTTGTTTTTAACAACTACTTTAATCTTTTAGCTAGCCTGTTTCTACTAGCTTGCTCTTTTTGCTACATTTAGCTACCCCACCMATTTCCTTCTTTTAGTTTTTGGCTAAATTTTAATGCTTTTAGTTTCAAATYAGCATTTTGCTTTGAGCTTTTAACAAGTGGTTTTTATGTGTAGTATAGACTGCGTACAGTTGAGACGGTTTTAACTTTTCCCATTTCCACACAAAAGTTAGACACTAAAAACAATATGTTAACTAAAATATAACCAAGAAATAATAGCCCTAAGTTGTTTATATTTTTTACAATTAATCAAAAACAAAAAGTTATTTTTGTCCCTTTTGCTACTTTAGCT